CACATAAAAACTCAAAACACGTACAAAATACAACAGAAGTGCTCCAGGATGCTCAGGCACAGAGTGCTTGTGTATAAATACACAAACAATACACATATGCTTTCATGCTTTCAATTGTGTAATTTAAGTGATCTAGTAGCTCTGTTTTGGAAGTTCAGTTCATGCCAGAAAAGTGTTTTGGAGTTTGTACGTGTTTTTGTCTCTAGGGGCCACCGCATATATTTATATATAAACATATATAAATAAAACACTTCTTTTTTTACATTAGTAATTCCTTTTGTGCATAATTTTATATTATTGTTAATAATAAATTAATTAAAGCAACAAAACAACCTGAAGAGCCGGTTTGGAGCCCAAAGAGCCGGCTCTTTTTAGTGAGTCGAGCCGAAAGAGCCGGTTCTCTAAAAAGAGCCGGAAATCCCATCACTAAAACAGACTGTTCCAATAGTGACGCTTGTTTTTAAAATGAGCTGACTGTAGTGCTACTGCACTTCTGCTACCTAAACACAAAATTTACCACACGGGACCCAGGGGTTTGAAAGCAATGACCTGGACTTTATTTTGGCACTGAAATTTAGGAATTTAGAGTCAGGCTTGTCCCGAGGTATCCTTTCTGACTCATAGTGAGGAAACCCAAGTATGGCAGAAATGTTCTGAAATGTTTTAGCCGTCAGTCTGCACAAACACAAACGCCCACTGTCCTCTTTCTTCATGTGATGTTGGTGCAAATGTTTATGGATTGCAGCTTTGTTTATTCCTTGATATTAAGATAAAGCTAACTAAATGTGTGGCCTTGCAATAATCTATGGCAGAAGCCACTCAGCATGGTCGCAAAAAACATCATCCCTCTTTCCAGCCATTCATCCAGATAGTCTGAATTCTATTTTAAAGTTTGGTTAAAGTAATTCAACACCAAATTCAGCAGTAAAACATTTTATACACAGTCATTCACAGTGATCTAGACGAATGATGCTTTTCATAGAAATTCAAGAATATTTGCATTTGAAAAATCTGTGCATTACTATAGTACCAGTAGATACACCAGAGAAGAATTTGCTATCAAGCACATTCAATTGATGTTTTGCTGCTTTGATTTCTACATAGCTAAACTACAACAAAGCTACAACTCGTTGGTCCAGGTTTTTGCAGATTACTTTTAGTTTTTTTTAAGAAATGAAAGTGTCAAGATACCTAACGGGAAACTATGTTCCCCTCGAGGTACATATTTTAGTCAAATACAAACATGTGAGCACACAACTCAGATCACAAGAGGAAATGCTTGGAGAGGTTTCAGACTGTAATATTCATTCATAACATAATGAAGCAGACAGAAAGGCATTAAGCAAACAGAGTTATTGGCAACATTGGAATCCCACTAGAATACCTTAATAACCATCATTACCTTGTAAGAAACAGACAATTATATTTGAAATACAGTAAAAGTTTGTCTGTGCTGTTATTATACACCTCTGGAATGCCCTGGGCCTCAGAAACACTGAACAGATCCATAATGTCTTCACAGACAGTCTGGAACAGAGTTCATCTCTACTCCACAAGACTGGTTCCAGAACCTGTTGTAAAGGCTCACCTTCTAGCACATTCACTTCACCAGATGCACCTTGTTTCTTTTCCTCACCTTTGATTGGGTGTGGTGCTTGGCCTTAATTGCACTCACCTGTCACTCGTTATATAAGGACTGCACTCACCTACCCCTCACTCTTTCTTCACTCCCACATGGGGCGGCAGCTGAGGTGAGTTTCTCTTTGAGGCTCCTGAGTTCATGTATCATTTTGAGTTACTTAAATCGTACTTTATGTCCTTTTTAGAGAGAGCAGTCCATGTGTGTCTTTCTTTACTTCCTTCTTTGTCTTATTGATTTGGAGAATAAAAGGAAAACCCTGAGAATAATTAGATGACTGCTTATTCTTATTCTAACCGGATGAGCCCATGATGCTGATTGCTTAAGCCCTGAACCTACCTTCCTTGAAAACATGGTCCTCCGAGCCGGAGCAGTATTAGCGTCATGGATTCAAAGCAGCCATTGACTGAAGGTTTGAGAAGATCCAGTCGTGATAGTCGACCTCCTGCCTACTTGCAGCAGTATGACGTTCAGTATCCTGGAGCTAGAAGAGCTACATGTGAGACAGAGTCAAACAGAATGCCAACACAGTGACAAAGACACACATGGGCTGCAAGATCCTGTCGGAGAGTCAGAAAGACAACCAGAGACATCCCCTGCTCCTTTACCCACCAATCAAGATGAGGTGATGAGGGAACTCCTGATGACAATGAGGGAGATTAGGCAACTCATGATTCAGTTATCTCCTCCCCATTCTCGCAGTTCCTCCAGATCTTCAATTCACACTGTCTCTGATGAAAGCAAATCCTCTGTTTGCGATTTACAAGCCATTCCCCAAACACATCAGCAACATGAGCAGTTCCCAGTGATTGATCCAGCAACATGTCAATCACCCTCTCAGCCCCCCCAGGTTAGCCGTCACTCTGGTGCAGTTCTGGCTGCTAGCCCTTCTTTCCCTAATTCAACAATATTAGATGCTGCAGTTCCTTCAAGTGGTTTGCCTAGACCAGTTTTTCCTACACCAGATGAGACTCCTTTTAATTTCCTGGCCACACCACTGCAAGGTCCCCACCAGATTTCATGTGTTCAACCTGCTGTTCCTCTAGATAAAGACCCCGCTCAACCTCTCGTTTGCATTCCAGAACCAAGGCAGCACCCTCCTGTAAAGCAGCAACCAGCTACATCTGATGGTTTGCATGCACAAAAACCTTCGGTACCCATTACTGCTAGTTCTAGTCACCCTGTTAGCACTAGAACACATGTGTATAAACTTGAGGGTCCTTCTTTCCCAGACCTTACCAGAGAAGATAAAATCCAGTATAGGCTGTTACGAATGGCCCTTACTAACCTGCTTGACCCTCATGAGACAGAGCATTTCAAATATCATGTCCTTCTTGATCATCTGAAAGTAGACAAAGCTAAACGGTTAGCTATTTCCTTTTCCTATGCTCCTGACCCATACACTCAAGCCATCAAAGCTCTTGATGAGCGTTATGGGCAACCAAGACAGCTAGCATTGAAAGAGCTACGGAATATACTGGAGCTTCCTCCTATCAGAGCAGGTGATGGTCGGACTCTGGATAACTTTGCTCTTCGTGTGCAAGCTTTAGTTAGTTTGCTTAGCACTATGGGTGATCAAGGACAGACAGAACTAAATTGTGGCTCCCATGTCGATCGCCTACTTGAAAAGTTGCGCGCAGAGCATTCCAGTCGCTTCAAACGGCACATTTACAGGGAACAAGGAGATATGATGTATGACTTACCTTTGTTCTCATCCTGGTTGCAAATTGAATGCAGGTGTCAACCAAGAAAGGACAGTCCTGTTTCATCCTTTAACCAGCCACGACCAGCCCATAAGTACACCTCTCCACTCACAACAATATTACATGGGACAAATGCATCCGATCCTGTACAGGCGGCACAACCCATCATAATGACTAAGGCAAGATGTGCATATTGCTGCTCACCTGAACACCACATTAGCAAGTGCCCTGAGTTCATTAACAAGACAAAGGATGAGAAAATAAACTGGATAAAGAGAAACAAACGGTGTTGGCGTTGTGCTAGGACTCATCAGGACGCAAAGTGTGACCTGAGGAAAGCATGTGCCACCTGTATGGAACTACATCTACAGATCCTATGTGAGGTAAATCAGAGACCTAAAACTGAAACTAATCCTGTAGTGAGGACACTACACTTTGATAGACCTAGTGATTGTCCCAGTGTCCTTTTAAAGGTTGTGAAAGTGCTCCTGCGAAACGGCAAAAGAGCCCTTGAAACATGTGCAATACTTGACGATGGCTCCCAACGTACCATGCTTCTGACATCTGCAGCTAAGCATCTCCACCTAACTGGGAAAGCTGAAAAATTATCACTCAGAACTGTCCATCAAGAAGTTGAAACTATTAAAGGTTCTTCTGTAAGTTTCCAGATTTCTCCCATCGCACATCCAGAGAAAACTTACACAATTAACAATGCCTTCGCTACAAGTCACTTAGCACTTTCAGACCACACCTACCCCGTATCCTCTCTTCAACGGAGATACAAGCATCTTCAAGGTATCCCATTAACCTTTACTAACAAAGCAGCTCCACTACTGCTCATAGGCTCTGATCATACCCACCTTATTACGCCTATTGCACCAGTTAGACATGGACCATTTGGATCTCCTGCAGCAGTCAAAACCCGCTTAGGATGGACACTCCAAGGTCCAATCACAGACTTCCAACCCCAGAGCAGTTCCACGCATGCCCAATGTTTATTCACATCTTCCAGTTCAGGTTCAGGAGAACCGCTCCAGCACATCCTTGTGTCCGCTGATGGCTCTGAATTCATTCAGCCACCTCATACTCTACCATCAGCAGTACCTATGTCGTCACCGGCAGTGCCACTATCACCAGTTCCACCGCCTGTGGCTGCCATTCCGCCAGTGGTCAGGGCGCTGCCTGCTCCTGCATCACCTGGTCCTGCCTCTGCCAAGCCCCGTACATTGCCCCCAGCACCTGCAAAACTGCCCAACGGTCTGCAGGTCTGGGCCTGCCGCTGCATCCCACGTGGTTGCCATTTGGACCTGCTTTGCCGCCACCGCTGGCTACATGGTCGGCCCCCTGAACTGTCTGGCCTGCATTGTCGACCTCTAGGTCGACCCCCTGAACCTATAGTAGACCTGTAGCATGCCTGATTCCTCTGCCCCCGCTTTGTGAAAAGGAGCATCTCTAATCCTTTGAACATATTTCTCAGTAGAAATATGGGGGCGGCTGTTGTAAAGGCTCACCTTCTAGCACATTCACTTCACCAGATGCACCTTGTTTCTTTTCCTCACCTTTGATTGGGTGTGGTGCTTGGCCTTAATTGCACTCACCTGTCACTCGTTATATAAGGACTGCACTCACCTACCCCTCACTCTTTCTTCATTCCCACATGGGGCGGCAGCTGAGGTGAGTTTCTCTTTGAGTCTCCTGAGTTCATGTATCATTTTGAGTTACTTAAATCGTACTTTATGTCCTTTTTAGAGAGAGCAGTCCATGTGTGTCTTTCTTTACTTCTTTGCCTTATTGATTTGGAGAATAAAAGGAAAACCCTGAGAATAATTAGATGACTGCTTATTCTTATTCTAACTGGATGAGCCCATGATGCTGATTGCTTAAGCCCTGAACCTTCCTTCCTTCAAAACAAGAACCCAAGCTATGTGATGATGTGAGCCAGTGTCTCTCAATATCAACAACTAGCTCTTTTGCCACCAGACAGCTCCATATATCCAAAGCAGCTTTCAGTAACTGGGTAATTGATTGCTAAGGCCTCTTCTTTTGTATCCCTCCTGCATGCAGGTGGTGTCCACTGGAGGGGTGGCCCATGAGACTCATTCAGGCTGAGCCTGCCTGAACCCCATGGGCGAAGGCCGAACCATCAGATGTAACCCAATCCAGTCAAGATAACACAGTTCAGTGTTGACTTTTCCATTGAAAGTCTTATATTGGGGACATATTTCAGTCAAAAAGGATACACTTCAGGGTACACCTGCTTTTTGATTGGCATGTCATTACCACATGAGCATTCAGTGTCACTCAGTTCTCTCTTCTCACATCCAGGTTCAAAACATCAAGACAGTGATTGCAAAAATGTTCAGATTGAAACTTCCAAACAAGACTTACTGACCACTCAGTGGCACCACAGCACCTGGGTCCTTCTACATCTGTGTAAAGACTATGTGATAAACTGAAGAAAAATATATGCTCAGCTCCACTTTCACTAGGTGTGGCTATATGATAAATTGTACATTAATAAAATATAAGCATGATAATGATAGTTTTTGTTGAGACTTTCAGGGAGGTTTTGATTCCGCTTTATATACACAAATGTAAATCAGTGGAAGCAGTGGAGTTTTTATCGATACAGTTATATTGGAAGGTAAGAAATATTTCTGGAAAAACAGAGCATTTAAGATCATAAATAAAGGTCAGTGACTGATATTTGCAGCTTATGTAAAATGACTTGGAACAGAAGCAATAATGACCAAAGGGAACAGATAACAGAGATGGGACAAGAACTGATGTCACAGTTCCCCATTTGCATTCCTACATTTTGTTGTTTTTTTGTTTTTTTTGAGGGGGGCGGGTTATATACTCAAAATAAACTATAATGGTAGTTCATTAACTTCAGTAACTGGTTTGATATAAAATGTCAATGTTTCACTACAGCCCTCACATGAGGGCTTTGGTTACACTTTGCTCACACTTTAGTCACAGTGTAGAACTGCTTTTCCTAATTATTGTGAAAGCACACTGGATGGCTGAATGTTGTCTGTCTGCGACACAAAGTCGTGACAGGGAGTAATACCATACCAAAACTTTTGCTCTCTCCTCATTAAGCCTCAAGTCATCTGGAATGACTTACACTATTCCCAGTGCTCACCACAGAGAAACCACATGGCATCTGTCACACAGCTAACCGAACAGGGAACAACAAACAACAGCCTCCTTTGTTGTCACAGGGCAAAGCTGGTTGGCTGGACCAAAGAGCTGAATTTGTAAAGTGAAGAAAGAAAACAAGAATCAGTGCCATGACATAAAATGCAGAATTAAAAGAGAAACACATAATTGTGGCAAATTTCTGGAGTCTGGATTCTCTCTTGTGTGTATACAAATGTCTTCATTATCATGACTGTGGGTTTTTGTGTGCTTTGTTTACAGTCCAGCATCTGCAAAACCCACCTTAAATGGGGGTTTTTTGATACTGATTGATAAAATTTTTGTTGTTTGAGGGTTTAACTTTTTTTGGTTTCTGAGCTGGGATGTGCCAGAAAAACGGAACAGTATTGGTTGGAACGGGTTTCATCGTGTAATATTTTCACAAATCTTCTAACATCTTGTTTCATCACGAATCACTGCTTTCTTTAGGTAACTGCAGCACCTCAAACACTCCAATTAGTGGTCTCATCTTAGTTCTCTTAAACAGATTATTGGAGGAATGTGGATGAAAATAGATTTACTCCTGATCTGATGATTCACTGAAGAAGCCATGTGTTTTAATGGCATCTTGTGTTTTTCTGGGATTAAAGTGAAGAATCGTATAATGTCAGGAATAGCAGGAGAAGCATTGTTTATTAATAATCCATTGAACAAAGAGGAAACAGTGATCATCCATGCTTTCTCTTATCAATTGGCTACACAAAGAGTTGGAGTTTTTGAAGGACAGAAAAACAAGTTCGATTATTTGGTAACTTTAGAAGTAAGTGATGTCATGAGCAAGCTGCTTGCTTATTTAGATCTGATGTCAAAAGCGCTTAGATTTTTACTCACTCATTCACGCACTGGTATTTTATACACAAGCACATATAAATCATGCCTTCAGCCTCAGCATCAGTTATCGTGTAATTCTATCTGGTTCTGGCTGAACTACCGGGCCAGTAGTTTCAGATGGGAGTGGTCCGGTCCCAAGGGGGTGATGTATCCAGGACAGGTTATAAGATCTTCAGTCTACAGTGGCCCTCTAGGGACACACCGAACTGGGGCCACATTGTTCAGCGGCATCATTGTGCACAAGGGTTTCCCATGGATCAAATGTTACAGACTTCAAACCCAGGGGTCTCAGCGCACTCATAGTTGTTCAGATGGGAGGCGAAGACGTTCACACACCGTTTCTCACTGATCTCAATAAGGCCACACTGGATGTTGTCCCAGTGGTTTGTCAACAGGATGCAGAGGAGAAGTGTGATGGTAGGGAGTCATAACATGCTAGGCATACAGATAAGAACACTTGGAGAGAGTGTTTAATTACAGCATAAGAGAAGAAGAAGTCTCGACACTCAGTAATAGTAGCAGACATGCCATGGAAACAGCATTTCAGTATTTGGCACACGGATAAAGAGGACTGCAAATGAGGCAATGCTTCCACATAGCAAAAAATGAGGCAGCAGTGTACAGATGAAGAAATTGGAGACTAGTACATCTTGTACTCGTCCCTAGGGTGATGCGTTTTCATAGATAAGAACATTTTGAAGACTGCGTGCATTTAATTATGTGCTAGTCAGCCGTGGTGGAGTTTCTGAGCAAGTTTACATTTAGTAGGAAAGTCAATTTTATGCTACATTTCTTTATATTGTAATAGGAAAATGGGAAATCGGTGTAGCCATGTATTGAAACATGTGCAAAGATACATGAAAATACAGTAAATAAGGCAAAAAATAAGTTTGTACAATTCCAACAAGCTTGAAGGTCAATATTTGATACGACCACCTTTATAAAGACCTGGATGGCCGCTAACTTTCTGCTTCTTAATTCAGATAAAACTGAGGTTATTGTACTCGGCCCTGAAAATCTTAGAAATATGGTATCTAATCAGATTCTTACTCTGGATGGCATTACCTTGGCCTCCAGTAACGCGGTGAGGAACCTTGGAGTCATTTTTGACCAGGACATGTCCTTCAACGCACATGTTAAACAAATATGTAAGACTGCTTTCTTCCATTTGCGCAACATCTCTAAAATTAGAAATATCCTGTCTCAGAGTGACGCTGAAAAACTAGTTCATGCATTTATTACTTCCAGGCTGGACTACTGTAATTCATTATTATCAGGATGTCCAAAAAACTCACTGAAAAGCCTTCAGCTAATCCAAAATGCTGCAGCAAGAGTCCTGACAGGGACTAGAAAGAGAGAGCATATTTCTCCTGTTTTGGCTTCCCTTCATTGGCTTCCTGTTAAATCCAGAATTGAATTCAAAATCCTGCTCCTCACATACAAGGTCTTAAATAATCAGGCCCCATCTTATCTTAATGACCTTGTAGTACCATATCACCCTATTAGATCACTTCGCTCTCGCTCTGCAGGCCTACTTGTTGTTCCTAGAGTATTTAAAAGTAGAATGGGAGGGAGAGCCTTCAGTTTTCAGGCCCCTCTTCTGTGGAACCAGCTTCCAGTTTGGATTCGGGAGACAGACACTATCTCTACTTTTAAGATTAGGCTTAAAACTTTCCTTTTTTCTAAAGCATATAGTTAGGGCTGGACCAGGTGACCCTGAATCCTCCCTTAGTTATGCTGCAATAGACGTAGGCTGCCGGGGGATTCCCATGATGCATTGAGTTTTTCCTTTCCAGTCACCTTTCTCACTCACTATGTATTAATAGACCTCTCTGCATTGAATCATATCTGTTATTAACCTCTGTCTCTCTTCCACAGCATGTCTTTATCCTGTCTTCCTTCTCTCACCCCAACCGGTCGCAGCAGATGGCCGCCCCTCCCTGAGCCTGGTTCTGCCGGAGGTTTCTTCCTGTTAAAAGGGAGTTTTTCCTTCCCACTGTCGCCAAAGTGCTTGCTCATAGGGGGTCATATGATTGTTGGGTTTTTCTCTGTATCTATGAAGCGCCTTGAGGCGACTTTTGTTGTGATTTGGCGCTATATAAATAAAATTGAATTGAATTGAATTGAATTGAATTCTTCTTAACTCTCTTCGGCAAACTTTCTAGTAATTGCATTAAGTAGTCTTCAGGAATAGTTTTCGAGTCCTCTTGAAGGACATTCAAAGCTCTTCTTTGGATGCTCACTGACTTTCATTCCGTTCTTTGTCAAGATGATCCCACAATGCTTCAAATGTTGAGGTCCAGGCTCTGGGGATGCCAATCCATGAATGTTCTATGGTGTGTTTTTTCTACCCTGGTATAATTTTACTGTATCATTCTTAAGATCACTGCTTTAACTGACGCTTTGAAGCAATCGGATGCTTTCCACATGGTGTTGTGTGGTGGATCAAAATCTGATGATGCTTTTCATAGTTTCATAAACTTATTTCCCTTCCTTTAGAATTGCTTCCACCCTTCCACTGAGACCATTTCTGCTGAGGCTTCAGTGAACAGATGACTCAACTGAAGGACCTTCTGCATCTCTCAAGTCCTGTGTCAGGTTTTTCCTACATTTTCTCCATTTCTTAACCACATCAAGACTTTGACACAGCATTTATATTATATAAAGTTGTATTTAAAGTTATAACATTTATGGTTAACCCTACTTTGACCCACTGTAATGTTAAAATGATAGTTACACATTAAGCCAGAAAATGATAAACCTTATCAACTAAAAATGTCACGCCCGGTATGGCAGACGTGTGGAGTCGTAGAAAGGATCCAAAAGGCGGCAGCTCTGGTGCAGGTGAGTATTTATTTACAGGAGTGGGTACAAACAGCAATGGTGGGTGAACATGAAACCGGAAACCTAAACTGGGTAAAACTAACAAAACAAACACTCACATAAGACGCAGACCTTCAAAATAAAACAGGAAACACATACATGCAATGACACAACACAAAAACTTCACACAGACTGGGGTACACATAGGAACATGAAAACAAAACCCAGAATAATAATAACTACTAAAACATAAACACGGAGTCACAAACTCCGGATCATGACAAAAAATAAGCCTAACATAGTTAAGACCTTAAAACTTTGTGTTGCAACTTTATGTCTTTGACTTAAAAAAAAGAACAAAGGAAGGAAGACTAAAATTAATGTGTTCTGTGAGCATTAAAATTCACAAAACAAAGAAAGAAACAGAAACAAGTCAGCATGTTGTTTGTTGCCATTTTACAATAATGAAAATAACGTGACACCAAAAACTGTCATTTGTCAGCACTGTGACAAATAGGTGCCTTATTGCTGCTGTTTTGTCATACTTTAACTATAGCAGCAACTCTGATGTCTCTAAATTTATGAACTTTATCATGTCTCTCTGAGTCGTGTTCAGTGTTGCATTCAAAACAAACAGCTGTGGGTTTTCTTTTACCTTCTTTCTTCAACAAT